GATTAATAATTTAGTTATCTAACTTGAATCGCTTAAGTTTACTAGTTGTAAACCTCCTGTTGGAACCTTATTTCACCTGACAGGTCGACTAGTAACAACGCCACAACTTTACTCCATCATTCTTTTCTTTTCGTGTTGTACAAGTCAAATGTGAGTATTCAGCATATAAAAGTTCATAATTTTTTTTACCACGCTTCATTACAAATGTAGATTTACCTAGAGGAAGACACTTTAATGTAGCCCGTATAGCTGGTAATATTACATTATTTACATAAGTGCCTTCACTTTGCAATTTTGCAAACTCGAGGTCAAATGCTTGATTATTCCATATATCATTCAGAGTACTCAAAATTCTCGATGTAACCTCTGCAAGCTCCTCATTCGTTTCTTTCTACTTTCCATTATGCACTAACTTTTGTGATAAACTGTCTATATCTCTTCCAATAAAGTTCTCTACGAATTCATTACATTTTTCTTGTATAATAAGGAGGTACCATTTGCTGTACTGGTTTCTAATAGCATTGATATATTAGCATATGAATCTCATCGATTTTATAAAAAATACTTACCATAAAAGAGTCCCTTAATTGTGTAGGTAAATTCAATACTAAATCTGAATCGTCGCTAATTACTTGACTAGCCAAAGGATCCTTCCAGGTCAACTCAAAAATAGATACTTTATTTATACTGAAAAACAAATATTGGTAAAGCTGTACATGATTTTTTTTTAAGTTTTCCTTTTAGTTCTTTGATATTCTTTTTGATTTAACCGGAACTAAGAGGCTTTTCTTCATTCATTTTCACTGCTCCAATGATATGTAAACTACGAACAGTTTTATAAGATATTTTGAACTAATATAATTATTAGTTAGTTAGATTTAATATTAATAAAAATAATTAGTATCCTATACTAGCTTTGGTAAAAAAATGTATGTGTCATCAGAATATAAATAAAGCTATATCCTTATGTAGTTAGCTACTCCAACACGCAAATAAGACTTTATGTGATACTAAATCGACCTCATAGAATAAAGCATATATTTAGCCTAAAATAACCTCCACACTGCTGAGGAATTTTTCTGTGAGTGGGCTAATAGGATATTTAAACTATTATATTTTTTACTCAGAATGGTATCACTATTCATGTTATTCATCATTCGATATGCCCCTTGTCACTATTAATCTATTTATTAATAAAAGTTAGATAACTTACTTCAAGTAGAATTTCAAGGAGTGTCGAGTGTCATGAAGAACCTCGAATATTTTGATTATTAGCAAATGATACCGCCTGTTCTATAATATCTCTCAACTCATTTTTCTAACCAAATGTTGTTTTCTATAGCTTGATAAATTACTGACCCAGCGGTTATATGATTTTCTTCTGTGTTAACCAAGAAATTATAAATTTTTGTTTGTAAATCGGTAGACATATTCAGTGGATATTAGAAAAGTATAAAGATGAATATTAGTTTGTTAAGTAATATACTCGCAAATAAAGCTTCAACAACAGCGGTATACTCTCCTCTTAACACTCATTATTTCCCTTTTTTAGTATCTCGTCTTATGGATTAAGAAAGAAGTCGGTATATGCACGAGAACAAAGGATATGTATATATTTCGAGTCAATTATTCAAACTAGATTATCGATATCCCTATTTGTAAAAGGTACAACATAGTACTTTAGTTTTGTGATAAATATAAATAGTGAAGCAGTAAAGCTAATAAAATGATGTTATATATCTGTTTTTGAGATGTTTTCACACAGATATGCAGATGTAAGGGTGCTAATTAAATTTGGTAATCAGTGTATCACATGACCTAATGATGCATGCAGATTCTATTACATTCGAATTCATTCTATGACACATATCTCATGATTTTAGATATCATAGATATCAGCTTCGCTATATAAATACTAATACTCGAACTCGAGATTACCCATTCCCAAAATAATATATTCAGAATGATTCGTTATCGACATCTATTCCTTGCAAAATACAACATTCTTGAAGAAATGGTTTCAAAATTTAATCGCACTAAAATTGAATCGCATATTCTAGAGTATATAAGTTATTA